TGGCTGCTTCTTTCTCCTTGTGGCCCGATTGAGGGCGGCTGGGAGCAGGGGGTGGGACTTGTTGCATGTGCCCGCCCCCTGGGCTCCTTACTGCCAGAGCTCCACTCCTGTGCGCTCCCGCAGGAAATGACCCCTGCTTACAATAAACAACCCTTCCTCATGACATAGACACCACGGGTCTTCTATTTCTGCTTCCTACTAGCAGCATTGCATAGTGAGTAGGTTGAATCCTGACTCTGTCAATGAAGCCTGCTGAGTGACCTTGACCAAGTCACTTTCTCTTAGCCTAATTCGTAGGGTTGTTATGAGGCTAAAACAGAGGAAGGGAGAAAAATGTTGTAAACTGTATTGGGGGTCTCGGGAGAAAGCGGGCTATAAATGAATAAATTAAATAAATAATCTTAGCACAAAAGCTAACATTAAAAGGCGCCAGATTGCGTGAGGTTTTGCATAGCATGCAAGCGCTCTCATATAGGTTCTCCTAAAGACTGTTACAATTGACAGGATATCTTTAATTGATGCACTGATCAGTCCCCATCTGTTATTATCAACAGCGGTCATTTTGTACAAAAAGAGCTGCAGGAGCTCATTAGCATACCTAATAGGCTATTAGCATAATAGCCCATTAGCGTATGTCACATCCCCTGACATCACCGGATGTCAGCAAAAGGAGGGGAAGCATCTTCAAAAGTCTCCCCTTCCCTTTCCCAGGTGGGCTGGGGGGGAGGAGCAAAGAGAGAAGTTGTTTAAACTTTAAACCCCTTCTCTTCTCTCTGCGCTCCCCTCCCCCACCCCACCCTGCCTTGGCAGGCTGGCTGGGGAAAGAAAGGGGAGGGTTTTGAATATGCCTCCTCCCCTTTTTTGCTTCCCCAGCTGGCCTGCCAAGGCACGGGGGGGGAAGCGAAGAGAGAAGGGGTTTAAACTTTAAACCCCTTCTCTCTGGAGTCGCGCCACAGCAGCAGCACGATCTTCCCATTATATTCTATGGCCCCATAGAATATAATGGGAAGATTGGGAGGGCCCTGCTTAAAGTTTCTGGGCTGCCAGAGCGGTGCTCCGGTGCACTCCGGCCCCAAACGACCCCTGATTATCAACAATGCAGAAGAGGTATACACTACCAGAGGTCGCAAAAAGGCACAAGGCCATTTGTATTGATAACTGTTACTACAATAATCCAAAGACAGTCAGTTTGTAAATAAAAAAAACATCTACAGTGAAAAATCACAAAACAGAAACTGTAAACAGTGAAGCAGTCCGAATAGGTCAATGTATAAACAATATAAGTGTTCAGACAGCATAAACAATGAAATAGTCCAAAATAGTCAATGTATGAACAGTATAAACAGTGATAGTTCACCAGCTGATTGTCCTATTTCAATATTTTCTTCTTCCGAACTACTTTACTATATTTAGTATGTGGGCTTGTTAATCTGTAAGAAACAGAAAACCAACAAGTGTAATCAAAATGCTATATACATGCTTATACATTCCATCAAAAAATTATGAAACTTACTGTTTCAGCCATTATATATGTCTGTTAAACTTGTCTGTTAAACATATATAATGGCTATTTCAGCCATTATAGAAGGAATTTCTATGCATAAAACACAAATCTATAACAAATAAAGTAAAATACAAACCAGTTATTGGGATTACACATACAAAAAGTAAAAGTATGTGAAAAAAAATGTACCAGGAAAAGTTAACAAATTCACATATGAGTCCAGAAAGCCACAAATCCAAATTTGCATATGCAAATTTGACAAACAATGAGGCCAAAGTAACAGGCAGTTGCATCAGCCAAACTTATATATGGGTTGGGTGCCTATCAGTGTTCCCTCTAAGCTAAGTTAGTGTGAGCTAGCTCACCGTTTTCTAGCCTCCGGCTCACACGTTTTTGTCTTCGCTCAGGAAGGGTGGCTCCAGAGCAAACTAATTTATGCAGCAGACAAATCACCTGCTCACAACTTTAATGCCAGTAGCTCACAAAGTAGAATTTTTGCTCCCAGGGCTCCATAGCTTAGAGGGAACATTGGTGCCCATCCTTAAAGGGCCAGCAGAACATATCACATTGATGATATAGGTTGTTATGAGGCGGGACCCAAACTAAATACTATGTCCCAAATTATACAGAAGCAGATAAATCCAAGTGGTCATTAAGGCCAAGGGGAGACAGTGAGTTCAAAGCCTTTCATTTTTTGTATATGTAATATGTATATGTTCTATAATGGCTGATAGAAACAGTAAGTTTCATAATCCTTTTGGTGGAATGTGTAAACACGTACGTAGCACTTTGGTTTTTGGTGTTGGTTTTCTGTTCTTTACAGATTAACCTAGTTGGACTGCTTCACTGTTTACACTTTCTGTTTTGGGATTTTTCACTGTAGTTGCTTTTTTATTTACAAACTGTCTTTGGATTATTGTAGTCACCGTTATCAATACAATTGACTTTGTGCCTTTTTGCAACCTCTGGTACTGTGTACCCCTTCTTTTCCAGTTTTCAGAGGTGTTTCTTTCCATTATCGACAATGTTACAGTATCCCATGCTGTCTCCCAGGGGATGTGGAAAGGGTGCATAAAATCTAATCAGTGCCTGGACGAAAAGCCAATGAGAGCTCTGTATAAGGTGCTCCCTGTTTAATTAGATCATTAAGAACCAGACCGTTGTTATGGAAAGAGACAGTTTCTCACTACAAAGATGGTCACCGGGTTTTGTCCAGGTTTTGTCCAGTATAGGCAGATATTTTATATGATGTTTTGAAGTGGAATGTAAGAACCTGGGAAAAAATCTGATACTATTAAACTGAATTTTAAAAAGGGCAGGGAGCTCCTGTCATGGTCTACTCTTACCTGGTATGTCTCTCAGTGAGTCTGCACTTACAAAAGCAACCCAACATTCTTGTACGCCTTGGAGTGCTGGAGCACATTCTTACATTTACTTGATGCCATCCCTGTAATTCTGGCAGCAGGGGTCATTTCTTGGAGGAGCGCACAGGAGTGGAGCTCCGGCATAGACACCACGGGTCCAGGGAAGCTATTTCTGCTTCCTGCTAGCAGCATTGTATAGTGAGTAGGTTGACTCCTGACTCTGTCGATGAAGCCTGCTGAGTGACCTTGAGCAAGTCACTCTCTCTTAGCCTAATTTGCAGGGTTGTTGTGAGGCTAAAACAGAGGAAGGGAGAAAAATGTTGTAAACTGCATTGGGGGTCTCACTGGGGAGAAAAGCGGGCTATAAATGAATAAATTAAATAAATAACCTTAGCACAAAACCTAACATTAAAAGGCGCCAGATTGCGTGAGGTTTTGCATACCGTAGTATGCAACCGTTCTCATATAGGTTCCCCTAAAGACTGTTACAATTGACAGGAAATCTTTAATTGATGCACTGATCAGGCCCCGTCTGTTATTATCAACAGCGGTCATTTTGTACAAAAAGAGCTGGAGGAGCTCATTAGCATAAGTAAACAACTAGTAAGCATTTAATCTAAGCCGCCATCACAGTAATGAAAGGAAAGAATACAGTGGTTTAGGAGTTTAAGAGTGATATCTATAGCCAATAATAATTTCATGAATAATGTTAGAGGGGGAGGAATTAACATGGCTCTTGACCAAAGACCTGCAACTGCTTAGGTTCTACACCAATGGCACATACCTTGTTACATAGTAAGGTGGTGGAAGGTTCATTGAGCATGATGAGACCCTCCCCAAAATTGTGCCTCTGCAGTTTATTGACGAAAGATCTTATTCCTCGTTCCATTTTGGCAGCAGACTCCACTGTTCCATGATACTTCCAGACTGGCAGCCTGCATTGGTAGAATTAAAGAGAGGAGTCTTAACATTATCTTAATAGGCAGTAATGTGCTAGGCTCATAGATTTTGCAAGGTGAGAAGAAAAGAACAAACACAAGATTTCTGGATCAAACTAGCATCTAACAAATCTCTGTGTAAAAAGGGGGAAGTGGGAAGGGCACAGGAAGGCCTCTTTTCTTCCAAGAGGATCAGTGATTCCATATCTTGGGTTCATAGTACAGAAGGCACAGAAGAATTCACATTTGAATAAATCGATCAAAAAGGTTCGAATACATGATCAAAGCCTACCCACCAATAGTAAGGGAACTGCCACACTGGACAGCAGACTGTTCTGCTCAACATTCTGTTAACAGTGGCAAAGCCAGCTATTTCAAGAAGTCTGGCGTGTAACCCCACCTTTCTTGTTAATCTGCAGCTTTCTGGTAGTCAGAGGCTTTGTCATTAGGTCTGTTTCACTTAGAGTCCGATCAGACGGCACGATTGCCTCACGGATCTAAAGGTAATGTCCAGACACAAACATCTGGGAAATGTCCTTCTTCCGTGGGCATCCCGTTTTGCCGCGCTTCGGAGCCGTACTTAAAAGATAGCCCTTTAAATCTGGGGTTTTCGGTTACCTGCGGGACAACTGCGGACTTTCACCCGTCTGATCGTTCCACCAGCGCGCAATCCTCCCGTCGGGGTGGTCTGATGCCAAAGAAGCTGGGTATCGTCAGCATATTGATGACAACCCAGCCCATGTCTCTGGGCAATCTGGGTGAGGGGGCGCATATAGATGTTAAACAGCATTGGGGAGAGCACTGCACCTTGGGGCACTCCGCACACTAGCAGGTGGCTTCTGGACAGTTGCTCCCCAACTGCCACCCTCTGTCCCCAATCCTGAAGAAACGAGGAGAGCCAGTGTAGGGCAACCCCCTGAATCCCGGTATCGGTGAGGCGGTGGACCAGTAGTTGATGGTCAACGGTGTCGAATGCCGCCGACAGGTCTAACAACATCAACAGTGCCGTACTGCCTCAATCCAGATGCCTCTGGAGATCATCTGTGAGGGCGACCAGGACCGTCTCTGTCCTATGGCCTGGTCGGAAACTGGACTGGAAGGGGTCTAATATGGAGGCGTCATTCAAAAAGCCCTGCAACCGATTCGCCACCACCTTCTCGATTAGTTTCGTGTCGACTAGATTACTGTCTGCATTGCAAGGAGCAAACTACATCGGATAATATTATCCCAGCATCCTTTCTAAGCAGGAAAAGCAGCTTCAAGCGGTAGACTGGAACAGGATGGATACTTAACCCTTTGTACTTTTTCTTCTATTTTAACACATCTACTTTTTAAAACTTTTTCTCCATTTCCAATTCACATACAAATAAAGAGTGGTGCCACTTGACCCTCCCCAAACACAGACGGTCACACAGGGTTTCAACTATGCGTGTCTGCAACTCCAAATAGATGGTTGGAGCGGTACAAAGGGAAAGTGGCAGAAGATGTGCAATTTGGAACTGAGGAGCCATGGGTACGGAAAAGTTAACTATCCCCCACCTCTGTTCTTCAAATCCCCCCCCCAGCTGTGTTTTTTTTAAAGAATACACCAGAATTCTGTCACATGTTCTGAATATAACATATGCTTTAATCTTTCAGTACCCACAGCTGCGTAGAGCATTTATGCTGGCCCGATTTAATGTGCTCCCCTCTGCGGTTTTAGCAGGAAGATTTAAGAAAATCCCCTACTCTGTGAGGTTCTGTGATTGTGATTCAGAGGAGATTGAAACAATCGAACATGTATTCCTCTATTGTAGTTCGTGTGATGACATTCGGGAAGTCTATCTAGAAGATATTCTTAAGAATGATGCCAAGCAATCCGATGACAGAAGGCTGTATCGTTTATTGGCTTCACAAAATATAGCGGTTATTGAAGCGGCTGCCAAGTTCTGTAACTGCCTTATAGTGAGGAAGCTGTATGTCAAATCCATGAACTGAATGGCGACTGTATGATTATGATCTATGCCAATAAAGGTTGACAGTCTAGCAGGTATCTCAGAGGAGCATCAAAGAAGAAATTGGCTCTCTCTTTTTTTTTGTCAAAGTCATGTAAGCCTTGGTCACAAGATACATTGCTCTTATGATTATGATCCATGCCAATAAAGGTTTTGAACTGGAACTTAATCTTTCAGTAGGATCTTATATGCTTGAAACCTTGTCCAGCCACGCTACACATTTTCTCACCTCTTTCTTACCTGAATAGGTCAGTATTTGGAAGCCTCTGTCGTTGTCTTGAAAGCTGGCTTCCCACTTCCTGGTGGGCAGATGTGATGTTTGGACTGACACACACTGTATATTGCAGGAATGATACTGATGCCAGGGACACTCTCCAGGCAAAAATGTTTGTTCCTCTCTACTGAGAGAGAGATGGGAATATCTGAGGCAATCATAATCGTCACCCCTTTAAAGATAACAAAAGAGGGAATCCAACAGTTGAAAGAGCGTTTCTCTTTGTTAGGCATTTTACACCATTCCAATTACAATCCCTGACTTACAGTCTGAGAAATGAGGAGGAGGAGGAGGAGGCATAAACCTATGGGAATTTCTCAAGTAGCTATTTATTTTGCATCCAAAGTCAGACTCCTCTTTGGGTCATCCTAATTATTGTAAAGAGCAACAAGCTATTGGCAGTCTAGCAGATAACTCAGAGGAGCATCAAAGCAGAAATTGGCTCTCTCTCTTTTTTTTATCAAAGTCATATAAGCCTTGGTCACAAGATACATTGCTCTTGACTGAGATCATCCAGACATTCTGAGTGATGGAATAATAGGTGTGATAACTATAATTAGATACCAAAATCTTCTAATACAATATGATCAATGTAATTAGATCTCTGTTGTTAATAATGGATGTTCATAAATCTTCAGATTGGACACAGCATGGAATTAGGTGTTCCTTGCATTTCAAGGTTGTGGATCCTGGCAGAGAAACTTGATCATAGCTTAGTCCAAAGATGAGGTACATATTTTAACTTTTCCATCCCATCTAAAATGCGGTAGACCACAGTCACCAGGCAGGTGGAAGAATATTGCCCCTCAAACACATGGGACATGGAAAAGTGCCCACTCTTTAATCTCCTCCATCATGTTGTTTGTGCCATGCGTGAACAATACATGGATAGAATGCAGAAGAAAAACAAGATACTCTATATGTTGGCAGTACATTTGAATTATAGATAAATTTAAGCACAAGCCAGTTTCAAGCCTCATCTGTGACAACACACTCAGAGCCAAACCACATGGTACACTTTTTGACACCTTGCATTTGGGTTCACTGACCTGACTTTTTATCAGACACACGTATGTCACCCTGGCAACCCTAATTGTACTTAAAACTGTCACTGCATTGTACTATGTGTTGGAAAAATGTGTGCTGCAAGGTCTAAATTCAGTCATTATAGGGTTAATGTGTTTACCTTGTTTAGATTGACCTGGAAGGGAACCTGGCAGAAAGCCAATGGAGAGAAAGCCCGGGAAACTGAAGTCTATTTACTAACAATAATTGGTTAATGTATTCCGGAGATTTCCTTCCAGGGGTCAAGAAGAAAGAAGAATCTCCATTACTAACGGTGTGGTCAGTCTGTATGTTGTAATACTTGTAACAGTAAGGAAGTAGTCTTAAGTGTTTGTTGTTTTGTAGATTTCCCATGTACCCTTTAAAAATAAACATTTTTACAAAGAAAGAAAATGCCTCCTCTCCAGTGAACAAAGGTCCATTGCAACCTTTGAATATTTAACTATTTTCACCAAATTTTCCAACACTGTGGACATATTAGTCTCCTTTTAGTTCATTCTGCTGTGTCCAGAGAAAATGAAATAGCCCTGGTTTTCTTCTTAGCCTTTCACTCAATTGGACTATATTCAAATGTTGATTGTCATGAATGAGCTACTTAGGATTTACACTGTTGGGAAGTCAAATGAGGAAAAGAAGCCTTACCAGTTGATCCCAAAAAATATCTTTCTAAGACAGATCCATAGCCAGTGGGGACTTGGGTAAGGCTACTGATGGTGAATGGTTGGGCCTCCATGTTTACATGGTTCAAAGGCCAGTGCTGGGTACTGACACTTGCTCCTCCATACCAGGAAATATTTGTCATGGAAAAACAGTCCTGCCAAACAAATATGAGAAAAAGAGGATATACTCTTTAGGAATAGTTTCATTTCGCATGAATGAGGACAAGCCTAGCATTGCCAGTTTGTGATGGATACCAAAGAGCACTCAAAATACAGCAGTTGGATTCTAAACCTTATCTTCAGTGTTGGAGCCATTCCGTTGCTTCATGCCCATGGGTGATGTCTCTCACACTTTCCCTATATCACGAATAAAGGTCTCCCTGCCTAATGTGCAGTACTATCTGATGACATTTAGATTAGCATAAGGATAAAGCCCTTAAGCCCTTCATGCTAAGCCCTTCCAGTCTCTGAGCTGCAGAAGCTACCATGGATATGAAAGTTCAGAATGAACGTCGTTCATTCTCAGATATTTTAATTGATAGTTTATATTCCTCTCTCCTCCAGTTCCTTTCACTGATTTTCAGTACTTTCATTTCTGTGAATAATATAATAGTAATATGACCTTAGCATGAAAGAATCTGTGCTTCCATCTTTTGATTGTTTATTGAGTTAGAATTCCTAATTGTACGATTTTGGAGGGTCACCTACCACCTTCATATTTGGTTTTCTTTCCCATTCTAGGAACTGGAATATAGCTAGTGGAATATAGCTAGTGTCCGCTAGGCCTCTAGCTGCCATAGAGTGTGTGTGGGGGTGTCCTCTGGAATTTTAGGTTTCTTTTCTCTGTGCCTTCAGTGTTTCTTTATCTCTGTAACATGAGCATTTGGCCTTGGTGTCTAGCACCAGCTTTCTCCTGGGAAACTGGACCCGTTAGCTTTGGCAGGCTTTTACCTGTTCTGTGATTGGCTCCAGGCCATCAGGAGACCCTCTTGAATTATGTATATCTGATTGCTTTGCGTGCTTATTACCATTTCTAACATAGGATGTGTAAAGTCGATCTGCATAGTTCAATGTTTCAATAAACTTTACTTCTTTGCATGAAAGAATTGCTGCAGGAGTCTGACAGCTAGTTACTTTAAACTCTGGACTTAGAAGGGTGTAACTCTGTTTAGAATAGTGCTGTGTCCAGATTCTAAAATCTAAAGTCCATTGAAGTCAATGAGCTTAGAAGGGTAAAACTCAGGATTGCACTGCTAATGGTCTTGTGCCCCCCTCCTTGATGGTAACACATACTTCAAATGAGAAAGCACACCCTTCCATTCCAAAGTCCAGCCCTGATGGCACCACAGAAACTGGGAAAACACAGAAGAGAAAACTCTACTGGACCTGGAATTGTAAAGGGCTGCTGAAGGCAATGGAATTATGCCAGTTTGAACCAGACAAACTCTAATCCTTTTTGATTAACCCAGCCACCAAGAGTTGCTAATCTTGCCATTAAAAAAATCAGGTCGGTAGTACAGAACAATAAATAACTTGGGGGATAATCTGCCATTTGAAAATAGCCTTTCTAAAATGAAACGCTTTTTTGGTTCTCTGGGGAATCCTAAATGCTACAACGTGGATTCCAAAGCCAGTTGGCAGAGCGGAAAGTTCATTTCTGCATTATAATGATTTTAGGCTGGAATAGGTTGGCTAAGGTATTGTGCTTCATTAAACTTCTTGGCCACACTACCAGGATTTAAGTTATTAGTTCAAACCTAGGATTAGATTCTCTGTTTGACTCCTATATATGCAGAAACATGGTTGAGACATCCTTCAATCAGAATACAGGATGCAATCCACTTCCAGCAGTGTAAATGCAAGTTGTCTGGCTTTGTTCCACTAAAGGAAATGGGAGAAAGAAGGCTTCTGGGGCCTAGAGTAGAAGAAGAAGAGAGAGAAGAGATTGGGTTTATACCCCACCCTTCACTACCCAAGGGGGTCTCAGAGCGGCTTACGAACTCCTCTCCCTTCCCCTCCCCACAACAGACACCCTGTGACGTAGGTGGGGCCGAGAGAGCTCTGACAGATACGGCTCTTTTTCAAGAACAGCTCTTATCAGAACTACAGCTTGCCCAAGGTCATCCAGCCAGATGCAAGAGGAGGAGGGGGGGATCAAACCCGGTTCTCCCAGATTAGAGGAGGAAGAGAAGAAGGAGAAGAGATCGGATTTATACCCTGCCCTTCAATACCCAAAGGTGTCTCAGAGCAGCTTACAAACTCCTCTCCCTTCCCCTCCCCACAACAGACACCCTGTGAGATAAAAGAAGAAGAAGAGATTGGATTTATACCCCACCCTTCACTACCCCAAAGGTGTCTCAGAGCGGCTTACAAACTCCGTTCCCTTCCCCTCCCCACAACAGACGCCCTGTGAGGTAGGCGGGGCTGAGAGAGCTCTTGACAGAAACTGCTCTTTTTCAAGGACAGCTCTTATCAGAGCTACGGCTTGCCCAAGGTCATCCAGCCAGGTGCCAGTGGAGGAGAAGAAGAAGAGGAGATTGGATTTATACCCTGCCCTTCACTACCCAAAGGTGTCTCAGAGCGGCTCACAAACTCCTTCCCCTCCCCACAACAGACACCCTGTGAGGCAGGTGGGGCTGAGAGAGCTCTGACAGAAACGGCTCTTTTTCAAGGACAGCTCTTATCAGAACTACGGCTTGCCCAAGGTCATCCAGCCAGGTGCAAGTGGAGGAGTGGGGAATCAAACCCGATTCTCCCAGATTAGAGTCCGCGCACTTAACCCCGACGCCAAACTGGCTCTATGTATAGATCTACATCTTTCAGGCTGCAGTCCTCCGTTTACTTCTGCAGAATACAATGGGACTTTTCTGAGCAAACATGTTTAGGATTGGGCTGTCATTACTGTTTCTATCATTGATTCCATGACTATTGATGCTTTCTTCTCCAAGCAGCTCACATAGGATACCCAGGATCCCTTCCTGACACGGAGCAGATGCATACCTGCTTGGCTTCAGCACAGTCCCTGTCAGTGCAGTTGTAAGAACACTTTCCTGGGAGCAAGCCCCACCGAACATACCTGACTAGGGTTCTGAGTAGATCTGCTTAGAGGAGCTCTCTGTATCATCTGCCCGCCAACCATATCCTAGCATCAGCCCTACTGTCAATTGGTACATTCTCACCATAGCAAGTCATTGCATTGTGGCTTCATTATTATTTTATTTGTTTGATTTGTATCCCGCCCTCCCCGCCGAGGCGGGCTCAGGGAGGCTTACAGACATGTGTAAAGGTAAAGGGTTTCCCTTGCTTGAAAGCCAGTCAAATCCGACTCTAGGGTTGCAGTGCTCATCTCCGTTTCCAAGCCGAATAGCCAGCGCTGTCCGAAGACTTTTCCGTGGTCATGTGGCTAGCATGACTAGATGCCGAGGTGCGCAGATTGATGTTACCTTCACACTGAAGTGGTACCTATTTATCTACATGCAGTTTCTTGCTTTCGAACTGCTAGGTTGGCAGGAGCTGGAACCAGAGATGGGAGCTCACTCCATCATGCGGCACACTCGGGTCTCGAACTGCTGAACTACCGACCTTCCAGCCTGCAGTTCAGCATCTTAACCACTTGAGCCACCGCAGCTCCCTACAGACATGTATACAATTATAGTAAAACACAAAATATATTAAAACAGTTAAAACCATCACAATTACAAAGTGCTAGCAAATACAGGTAATAGGCAATGGCGGCGTTCTTTCAGCATCCAGATAACAACCGCCACCATTGTCCTGGTCCTTGCCAGGCTATATTGATTTAGTGCTGATGTTGGGGCCAGGGCCACGATATTAGCAGCAACACCCTAATCGAAAGCATCATGGAAGAGCTCCGTTTTACAGACTCTGCAGAACTGTAAAAGGTCCCGCAGGGCCCTGATGTCCTCTAGGAGCTTGTTCCACCAGTACGGGGCTGCCACAGAAAAGGCCCTGGCCCTCGTCACAGCTAGCCTGGCTTCTTTGGAAGGGCCAGATGGTGTTGGGACCCCGATCTTAGTGCTCTCTGGGGAACATGTGGGAAAAGGCGGTTCCTTAGGTAAGTAGGGCCCTGACCATATAGGGCTTTAAAGGTAAGAACCAGCACCTTGAACCGAATTCGGTATGCTCTAGGCAGCCCATGCAGTGCTTTTAGCACAGGCCAGGTGTGCTCCCGCATAGGGAGACACACCAACAGCCTCACCACTGCGTTCTGCACCAGCTGCAGCTTCTGGATTTTGGGTCAAGGGCAGCCCCATGTAGAGAGCATTACAGTAGTCCAGTCTTGAGGTGACCATTGTGTGGATCACTGTTGCCAGGTCATTGCATTCAAGGAAGGGAACCAACAGCCTAATCAGCCGAAGATGGTAAAAGGCAGACTTCGCAGTTACCTGGGCCTCCATTGTTAAGGAGGCATCCAGGGCACTCCCAAACTCCTAACCAATGGCGCCCCATCGAAGGTCAGGAGAGGGATCCCTAACCTTGGCCCACTCTGACTCAGGCACAGGGCCTCCGTCTTCGTCGGATTCCATTTCAATCGACTCAGTCTAAGCCAACCAGCCACGGCTTTCAACGCCACGTCCAGGTCTCCCAGACTAGAGTCTGACTGGCCATCCGACAACAGATAGAGCTGGGTGTCATCCTGTTGGGTATTACAAGTTGAAAACACTCAGTATATCTGGGGTTAAATGTTTGTTTCTGTTACTCACAGGAAGTCACATGTTTCTCATGTAACCAATGTTCTTTAGCTGTAAGAAGCCTGGGAATTTTCTCCCTGATCTAGGAGTTTGATTGGAACTAAAGTGTCAAGATGTATTACCATTTTATGGCTCCTCTTCCCGTCTTTGTTTGGTGTTCTGAAGAAGAAGAGGAGAGAGAAGCCATAACACTCTTCTAGTTTTGTCTTTGTAGTGTAAGGATGTAGCCGTTTAGCTCTGCTGTTATTTGCATCCCAGTTACCCTTCCCCATGCTAGAATTTAGTAAAAACGTTATATTTTAATCACACATGGACTCTCAGTCTGAATTATCTTACTCAGACTCTGCTGGGCTAATTATCTCTGCTAAATACAATTTTTCAATCTCTCACTATCAAAACCCAACACATCCGCATACCGGTGACAACCCATGGAAAAGAGATAG